AGTCGACATAATAAAAGTTGTATGTTGTCATGGTGAGATAAATTATCTTGACAAGTCGACATAGTAAAAATGTTATGTTGTCATGGCGAGATAGATTATCTTGACAAGTCGACATAATACATATTGTGTTGTCATGGCGAGATAGATTATCTTGACAAGTCGACATAATATAAGTTATATGTTGTCATGACAAGATAGGTTATCTTGACAAGTCGACATAATAAAAATTGTATGTTGTCATGGCGAGATAGATTATCTTGACAAGTCGACATAATATAGTTGTATGTTGTCATGGCAAGATAGATTATCTTGACAAGTCGACATAATAAAAATTGTATGTTGTCATGGCGAAATAGATTATCTTGACAAGTCGTGATAATCTATCTCGCCATGTCGATATGATATGTATATTATGTCGACTTGACAACATAAATTATCTTGACAAGTCGTCAAGTCGAATGGCACTTAGGTGCTTCCGTAGCCTATACCGTACCGGTATAGAAGATACCGGTACGTCCCTCTTCTTGCTGCTGTTGCTGCTGCAAAGCAAAGATCTTATAAACACAAGATAGCGTTCTCCGGGATTTACGCGTGCAAATTCTGTAATAAGGCATGAATGGCGCCCTCTTGCTAAATTGGAAACTTTTGAACCTTGACCGACGGCGATTTTTTTTTCCGTACGAAACATTTACATGATCTGACCATACAGTACACCGCCTGTGAACAGCAGAACAGGAACCATCTCAGATCCATGGCAACAGATAGGACGCCCTCTTCCAAAACTTATTACTTTTTCTCATAGAGCTATTAAACATTCTTATTATACCTCTATGCTTTTTCTCTTCGGTAATAGCGCATGAATGGCGCCCTCTTGCTAAATGGGAAACTTTTGAACCTTGACCGACGCTTCTATTTGTTACGCGTAAATCGCGGAGAACGCTATCTTGTGTTTATAAGATCTTTGCTGCAAAGGCGGTCTTTGTATAGAGGGCGGGATTGCTGATCGACCAGATCCTAGACTGTTACTACGCCGCGCCTCCTGTCCTGTACTCAACTTTTCCTGAGTTGTTTCTTACTCATCGTAGGCGCTGAGCATCGGGGAAATCCTGTCTCCGATGACTAGCATGAGTATTATAACATTGGTTGAAGATATATGGGACATGGTAGGTTTTAAAGTATTTTATTGGGCAAATTGTTCTTACCATTGTAGGCTTCCAAGGTTAGCCTCCTCCTAGGCCTAGGCCTAGGCCTGTCCTCCGGAAAGCAAACTACGATCAGATTCACAACAACAAATCTGGATATTTTCCCCTTGATGCAGAGCTTAGTGAAGAAAGGAACTGATCATCAGTGCTAAACGTTGTTTTATGTTCCGACTCAAACATATAAGTTTAGGTAGGAAGGTCCTGATCCCTACCATGTAATGCATGCACTATAAATATATTATTTAATTATCAAATTGTTGATAATACTAGGCCTAGCATACCCAACCCGGCCCTAGCCTAGGCCATAGGCCCCTAGGTCTAGCCATCCAAAGTACAGTCAACATGCCCTCCCCTAGCCTAGGCTACTGAATTATGCATAGATGTATTGTAAAAAGCCCAAAAGGTACTTACCGGTATCGGTATTAGTTTCCCGCGTGGGGCTGAATACAATGCCAAAATGGTATTACACGTCTGTGTGTGTACAGCATGAGCTCTCGACTTGAAGTGCCGTCCTTTCTCCAAGGGATTACCCGAGTCGGCCGTTCAGTGCGCATGCCCGTAGATACGCCGGTTTGCACAGGTGAGCTAACCCAGGGAATCTGGGGTCATTGCAGGGTGACCTCCAGGGGGTCGTCACTACATTCCCCCATTGTTTGAAGAAGGACGTCATGCTGCATGGGAAAAGACCCTACCCACCGACATTCAAGCTCTAAATGTTCTCAGTGGGCCCCGAGTCTGGATTTGCTCAGGAGGTTTCAGACCCATAACAATGTGCAGGAAAAGAACAGAAATTAAGGAAACATAAAATAAAACACAAAGTATTCCCTAAACAAACTTAAAGTCTTCTGGGGTGGCACTGAGCTCTTAGGCTCAGAAGAGATCTAGGCCGTTTTTCCGGGTGAGCTCTAAGACTCGTCTGGTGTCCCAGCCTAGAACTCGGGCCACCGATTTTGCTGTCTCCCACAGCAGATGAGGAGCACCCACTCGCTGGCCTGAGGGGGGAAAATAGGACCCATCAGACTCGATGAGGATTCTGCGGTCATTGACCCCTGCGAGATGTTTACAGGCTGCTCCTTGTACCGTGGTGAACCTACCAGCTTCTACGGTGAAACTGAAGTAAGTTCCCGGGTACTGGTGCAAGAACTTATCCACCACCTTTGATGAAGAGGAAAACGCATGCAAGATCAACTTCTGATCTCGGGGGATATGCGTGAGACGCAGGAGGTAAAGTGCCCTGAAGTAGCATTCTTCTGCCACCTCGTCCCCTTGCATCCCCCTCACATGGAGGCAGATAAGGCGATGTCGAGAGAAGGAATAACACTGCTTGAGAACTCGCTCAAGCAACTCATCCTGCCGAACCCAGTCGGTGTTGGGTAAGGTGTGGTCGAGCCCAATCTCACCGAGCACCCTGACATGAGATGAGCTTGTCAGAGTGACCAGCCTGCTTATCAACGCCTACCTCGAATCCCTGCTCTGGAAGGGAACAGATCTCCCTGATAGAGGGGTAGGTTGGAGGATCGCAATAAATGGCGATCCCACCCACCACCCTAACAGAGTGTGAATTCGAGTGTAGGCGCTCTGACCGCCTTACATCCCCAAGGCTAGCCCCAGACTTTAGCCTCAACCTATGACGCAAACGGTCAAGATGGAAATGGGAATCATAGGCCCGGGGTACCTTCTCCTCCCCATGTGAAGACGCTTGCGTCCTGGTGGATAAATGAGTCGGCTCAGGTGCCGGCTGCGCTGCGATAGCTCTCAGCTTCTCTCCCTCAGGAGAGACCCCCGTTGCTGCCCGTTCCTTTCTCTTTTTCGAGATAGAAGGTAGCAACGGGAAAGCCTCCTCCGCGCGCTGGACGATGGTTCGTAGTGCGACCGAGCCGAGGCGCTCCACAATGGCGATGAAACATCGCCAATGTATGAGAACGGAAGGGTGGCTAATAGGATTAACCGACACTTCACCCCCGACCCGAACCCGAGGATGTCTTCCAGCTTCCTAATGGCCCACCCCGTTTTGACATCAACAGCCCATGTTTTCCCGGGTTCTCCGGTCGCCTTTTCCCGGTTTAATCTTTTGACTAAGTCAAAAACAGTGGCTGTCTTGTCTATCAAAACTGAGGTGATGCCCTCCAGCACCTTTGCCTGCACCTGCGCGCGACGCGTGGTGCATCGCGGCTGTGGTCGGAAACAGGATGGCATATGCTTTGTGACCACATGGACCCTCATGTTGCCTACTCTCCGTTCTGCGCACGCAGGGTATAGGCACGGTGAACCCGGTCTTGCTTCGGCTGTAGCCGAAGACGCCAGACCAGGATGGGGTCCCAAACTTTCCCCCTCCTGCAAGGAGTGGGAAGGTCCCGCCAAAAGAGTACCCTAATCCGCCTCGGTCTTATCTAAAGCCAGATCAGAGCGGGCAGGACTACTCCCAACCAAAGGCATCAAACTGGAGCAGACTGCAGCACTTCCTTGCCCTTGGATGTCCCCAGAGCTAGGTGAATCCACCTCTGGTCCCCCAACATCCATCTCCTCAGGGGGCTCTAGATCTGGAGATGAAGGGTCTTCTAGCAGGAGAACATCTTCCCTCTCCGCCTCTGTGAGTGGGACCCATTTCCCATTCACTAACTTCTGTCGTAACCAGATGTCAGTAGAAGAGAAACTCATTTCTGAAAGAGGTAAACATTCAAAATTAGTTCCACCTAGCCTTTACCTACCTGGCTAAGACTTCGTATGACATCCGCCTGGAAAGAGAAATAAAGGAAAAAACATGGCGCAATCATTTCATAATTCCTCCAACCATATGAAAGGAAGAACTTGTGAACACTGACCACATTTCTCTACAGAATTCGTCATCATTAGCAGTCCGAAACTGGGTAACAATCTAGCCACCCGGATTCCAAGGGAACATCAGACCACCCCCAATTTCACGTTGGGGACTAATGTAGGGAATGGACACCGTTCCACCCACTGCCCCCTGGTATCTGAACCAACTGATAAGTGCGGGTTGACCAGAGATGATAGACATGTTCTTTCGTAATTTCAACTGACAACCTTAACAAAGTAGATAAATAGACAGATCATGGGATTCGTTATTGATCCCATGGTCCCTAGCGTCTACCGTGGTGCTTGGAATTGCACTTGACAGTTTGGCACTGACTTCAAATGCTTTACCAATACTCTGGCCCCGTTTCATAGTCAAGTAGTAATCCGAAGTATTAGTGATACAGATGGACGATAGCTTTTCGCTACGATATACTATAGCAGGAATCGCCAATTTGTGTGTAACCTCAGGTTCTACAAGGAAATCTGGCAAAGGTAACCCGTTAGTTTCTAGTTTACACTTTACGTAGGTAGTCGGCTGAGGGAGTATTACCCTACGCTTCGCTACGATAGCTCTGGCTATTCTTAAAGGAGATGTAGAACTGTCCGAAGTCGATGACTGCCTCATTCAGAGTGAGAAAATCCCCACCAAAAAGCATGTCATCACTTATTGGAGCTACCCATAAAAACTCATTGTACTCATTAGACCCCAGTCTTAATGTAACTGGCCCCACCATATGACCCAGCATTGAAATTCCCCTTCCTGCTAGAGTAAGGGTTAGCTTAGATATAATGGGTGGTAAAGGTTTAAGTCTTGAGTACACCTTATCTGATTTTATAGTATGGGATGCTGCACTATCAACAACTGCTGTTGTCTGAACATCATTGACATAAGCAGTCACATACACTGCACTACCAGAATTCTTTCCTGCAGCTATCATTTCTGATGTCATTACTGATCCCTCAACATTCGAACACTTGTCAGATACATCTATCTCAGATGAAGTTTCTTGTGGTTCAATCATTTATGGATCAATTGCTTGTTGATTACCCTGTTCATGGTTGCATTCAAACAATTCCTCTGGGAAACCAGTGGACACATAAGATAACCCAGGTGAAAAGTCTGCCTGATGCTGAACTTCTAACTTTACCCCGGATAAAACAACCCCTGTAGATTGGCCTGTTGTGGATAGGGAAAGCTCGGGCAGCTGGCCGGCGCCCCCAACCTCCAATAGTTTAAAGGCTGTTCCCCATCCGCAACCCCAACATTATCAACAGCAGTAATTGGATCCTGGGTTGCTCAGAAATTGCACGAGACCCCAGCACTTCCCCTAACCTATCGACCTTAACATTTAATTGGGCGAACTGAGTATTCACCGTCGAATCTTGTTGGGTTAGCTGGGTGCCTATGGATGTCAATCGCAAACCGTGTGACTCAATGTCTAAGAGTTTAGTTTCTAGGGCATCCAAGCGTTCATTCATCTCTTTACCATTCCCAGGAGGACAGGATGTTTGCCATGAGGAACTAGGTACTGTATGTCGCTCTGATTGGTGACATTCGGACGATGTGGATCAGAGAACCTGGTCTCATCACTCCCCTTCTTACGCCGCCTTGGCCGCCTAACTTCAGTGTATGGCTCCCCATCTTCCTCCCTCTCCCCAGAAATGGCAGAATGCCACAGTACCCCGGCTCTTTTTGGAGGGACTGAGGAGTACGCAGACCCCTCAGTGCTAGTACTGTCCTCGCCTAACTGGTGGGAGGGAAAACCTTTGGAATGGTCCCAATATTTTGGTGAGCAACCCACAAAGTCATCCTCATCTCTCACATTGGGGAAAAATGGAGTGAGATAAGGCGACATGGAAGGTTTGGGATGTTTCTCCGCACCCCCCTTAGTCTTACCTAAACACATAGAAGGATAACCCTTGGGAACACCACTGCAAATCGAGGAGGAGTTTCCTAGGGACTCGTCACTAATATTAACATTAGTTCCCTTACTCTTCCCCCTATTCTTTGAGTATTGAGGTCCAGAATTACTACCCCCACCATACTTGGTCTTGCGTCCGGCGCTTAAAGATGCGCTAATCGGTGACACCCCACTTGATTGTCTGGAATAACCACCCGACGAAAATTCAGTTTTATGTTTACGGGCTGACTTCCTTAAGTGTCTATCCCTTTGACCCTCGGCTTCCTTATAGGTGGATAAAGCTTGGGAAACAGTTAGACACCCTAGGTATAGAACTAGTTCCCCCAACTTCACTTCCCTACAACCAAGACAAAACCTAAGCACAGCATGATCCGTGCAAAGGTCATCGATAAAACAATAATTAATGAAAACTCGCTTAAATCTAGGCATTATTGCAAACTGTCTGTAGTAAAATAGTAAAATCAAACAATAGTAATATAAAAATTGTCAATGTGCAAAGATCAAATTACACAACAGATTTCACAAAGATCTTGAAAAAATACAATTAAAATGTGGTTAATGTACAATTCATAAAAACAGGTTATAATCACATTAATCAAAGCACCTATTTAAATTGCGTACAAATATCGCACAAGTAACAATGAAAATGACCACCTGTGGATAAAACCAAATTAGAATGATATGCAAACGAACTTGTACAGCATGGATAATTGAATGCCACAACAAATTCTCTCATGCGTGTAAAGAATTTGTCATGCACCTTTCACTAAAAACGTTTTAAAATTCCTACCTATTTCCTAACTAGTATTAATCCTAATCTATTAACACGAAAATATTAGCTGTGAGAGTACTTAATTCACGCAAAACGTATGTCACGTGAACTTCCTCCCATACCCTATTCGCGCTAATAAATCCGTCACCTTTTCCGACCCAGCACACGTACCGACGATACGATGATCGACGTTACTGGGCTAAAACAACGGGTAACAGTAACCAACTAACTAATAATCCTAGTCTAATATATTCGGAAACTAATTGTGAGGTACTCGACAGTCCGAAAATAAATCCGGTCCTGTACACTTCCCGTCACAACAATCCTAATTAATATCCTAATCTAAACACCTAATCTAAGTTTAGCTGCAAAGGTACTCGGCAGTTGACAATAATTACCGAATCTACCTACTTTACCTCACAAAAAAAAAACCTAACTAAACACTAAATAAACCACTGCAAGCGACTCTATTCGCTCGCATCGACAATGTTGCACAAAATACAACATATGGCAAGCCTTTCGCTCGCAGCGCCAATATTGTAAAAAGCCCAAAAGGTACTTACCGGTATCGGTATTAGTTTCCCGCGTGGGGCTGAATACAATGGTATTACACGTCTGTGTGTGTACAGCATGAGCTCTCGACTTGAAGTGCCGTCCTTTCTCCAAGGGATTACCCGAGTCGATACGGCGGTTTGCACTGGTGAGCTAACCCAAGGAATCTGGGGTCATTGCAGGGTGACCTTCAGGGGGTCGTCACTACAGATGATTAGGACCTAGGTCCCCTGGAAAGACTACAATTAAGTTAAGGGTTTTGGAACAATTGCACAACCATTCATTTTTTGATGAACAAAAATAGGCCACTGTTACATCTGAATATTCCAGCAATATCGTGGCCTAAGTTAAGGGTTTTTTTCCACCCATACAGTAGCATAGCATTCTTCTTCATCCAAAGTACAGTCAACAATAACATGCCCTCCCTTAGCCTAGTCTACTGCATAAGATAATTAGCCTAGGCCCCAGTTAAGTTAAGGGTTTTGGAACAATAACCACGACCATTCATTTTATGATGAACAAAAATAGGCCCTACTTCTAAATTTTCCAGCAATGTCCTGGCATAATTTAAGGGTTTTGGAACAATAACCACAACCATTCATTTTATAGATGAACAAAAATAAGCCCTACTTCTGAATATTCCAACTATGTCCTGAGTATGCATTCTAAAATTCTGGGAATAATTTGTCTTGGTTGAGTCTTTATTGGATTCTAAACTTAAAAAATGCCTCCTACTAAACACCACCAGGGGCCAGAGATCACCGGGAACAACCAAGGCTAGATGAAGTAAGAAATCATATAAGGGGGAGCAGTAGAGCAAATCAATCCATGGGAGTTGACGAAAATTGGCTAATTAATTTCATATCAGAACTCGAATTAAATTACTTAATCCACATCCATAACTGTTTTATGGAAGGTAGAGTTGAGGGCAAAGAAGGAAAATGTAGACCACGAAAGAATTGCCAGAAGGACATTGAAAGACTTGTTAAACATCAATGTTAAGGCAGTAGAAATTAAGGGTATGGAGAGAATGGACCTTTCCGAGTGTCAATCAAGTAAACTAACCAATCAGAAAAGTGCCAGGGGTACACGCGTGGTGTTGAGCAAACACACATGTTTGCGTATGTTTTTGCTCTGTAGGGCCTAGCAAGAAAATCCAAGGGGCGGGGCTTAGTGGAAAAGGTCCATTATACTCATGCAACAATCAGGGTAGTCACATCCATGTGAAGACATGCAGATGAAGAATAACTGTCTTATTTATTTTCTATTTATTTGTTGATTTATTTGTCTTTTTTTTTTTAAAGGAAGGAAACATGATAAGAAAGGTAGAGAGCGATTTATTAAACCTGCTTTTTAAAATTTCTTCATTTGACAGCCGGTTGCATGCATTCACTGTGGAGGGTTTTATGGAATTAATTACAATGAGCCTGTGTGTTCTACTTGTCATGCGTTTCTGTATCCCCCATTACAAGTCGATGAGCCTCCATGTATCACAATAACTGGGGTAGGTATCAAAGCCATTTATTGTGGTTTTTCTTGCATGGGGAGATATTAATGCAGGGTTGGTTCCATGGGGAGGGGGGCAACAGAATCAATCTCAAGAATTCACCCCAGTCTGCGCTCGGTGCTACGCATGTCGTATGGTCCCTACCCAGACATTTCTCTTGATACGCCCCTGTAATGTAGTGTGAAAATTGTTCAGTAATCACTCGGGAAAAAATGTTTGCAAACAAAGTCAACATAATTAATTAATTTCTTTTGTATATTCAGACAATTCGGCCGTTACACACATGATAATACACACAATTTTATGCAATGTTTGCGTGAATATAATTATTATCACTGAATTACATTGTTTTCATATTTTTGAACAGCCAGAGTCATCAAGTGAAGGGGAAGATTCCGGCACTGAGGAGCCAACAGATTATATGTACAAACGCAAAAAAGTTGTTAAAAGTAGACAAAAGATTATATTGTCACCCTTAACAGGTGAACTGTCAGACCGGATTTCTGAGCTGTCTCTTTACAAAGAGCGGAACAACGTCATTGAAAATGGCATCGTAGAAAACTTACCAAATGAAGGTAATTGAAAAGAGATCACCTCTTTTGCCACTCCCCAATTTTGGCACTGAAAACATCCAAAAATCCACTCTCTGTGTTGATGCATCTTATCAGAGAGCCTTCATTGGAGTTTGACTGAAAACGCGTGTGGGTGGGGGAGGGGGGGTGGTGGGGTTTTACTAAAATGACTAGAACATTTTTTCCCTATGAGAATTGAAGAGGCGTTTCCACCATGTTAAAGAGGACGCATATGCGATTGATTGAAACCAAAAAAGCTTTGTTAGCAATTTTTTTTTCTGGTACCTTGATGTCGATGAAATGACCAGAGCTCAAAGCAGAAGTATGATTTGTGTATATTTGTGTATTTATCTAATAATATTTTAATACAACTCCTTGGTTAAAAAATAATGAAATTTACAATATATTTTTGCAGTTCTAGAAAAAATATTTTCATACCTTGATGATCTAACAATGGCAGTGGTGCCACTGGTTTGCCAACGATGGCAGCAAGTCGCATCGGACCATCACAGTATGGACTGCATCGAGTGGGAAGAAGCTGTCCATAAAAGATGGCCGCTCTTCAAGCCACAATACCAAGTAAAATGTTGGAAAACATGTTTTACAAAGTTGTAAGTTTCATTATTAGTGAATGGTTTGTATTTTTCTAAAGCTGTTGACAGTGTATTATAATATCAAATAATGCACTTTCAAAATAGAGCAGTGGAGTGGAGCTGTGGTACAGTAGCTAAGGAGCCCACCCTTCCAATCCCAAGGTTCTGGGTTCAATTCCAACTATGGCATAATGGTTTCGTTTCAGCTTAATGGTTAGTTTTGTAAAAATGTTTGTTTTATAATCATTTTTACACAACCTTTTTGGGCCAGAGACCACTTCCTACACTATGGACAAATTTGCGGACCACTACACATATACTGATATTTAAAGCAATTAATTAGACCTATACTCACATAGTTGAATCGTTTTTTCCATTTTGACAAATCAAGAGCATCAACTATACCAGTGGTTATGCCACATAGATAAAAAAAAATTTATGATAAATAAGTTCTGCTACCATCTGCCGTAAAGCTTTTTGAGGATTAATTCTCTTGATGATTTGGGAGCAAGTTGGGAACAAAAAGCAACGCCCATAAACTATACCCAATATTGCTATAATGCGTTTGGCTCGTGTGAAGTCAATTGATGTCAAATTAAAATAGTGTGTTGTTCCTCATGGATTTATAGGCCACATACGACTGTGGACCAATTACATTTCTCGCAGACCACCCACGGACCCTTAGCATTTGATCAACCACCGGTAATTTTAGGCAGACCATTGGTTGCATAACACTATATTCACCTGTTATTTTAAGAGAAGATTAAATTCTAAGAAATAATATTTATAAAGGTAAAATGTTTAATTTATAAATTAGAAACTTTATATTTATTTTCTTATTTTGCAGATTAGAAACTGTGCCTTGTAGAAAATGTGTTGAGCAAATTAATATAGAGGTAAGTTATGTTTATATAATTATAACTGACTAGGTAGGAGTGACCTGTAGTAAGTAGCAGTTTACTTGCCATAATCCTGGTTAGTGGATATCAAGATGCTCTTTGAATTTAGGTACTTGTTTGTGACTTTGGATGATTTACATCCTCAGAATCCTGAGAAGTAGTGCACTTCTTTTGCCTAATCAGGGTCTATAAGGAATGACTGCTCATGTAGACACTGCAAATGCTAGCAAGTTAATGTAAACAGAAGGGTCTTGCCAAGAAAACAAGATGCTATTAAAGGCACTGTGTAACCAAAAATGCACTGCAATTACACCATTACCATAGATTAAATAAAGGAATAATAATTATTATTAATAAAACCATTACCATTGTTATCATCATTGGCATCAATAATCTAAACAAGTATCACTTCATCATTGGCATCAATAATCTAAACAAGTATCACTTCGTTAAACTATAACCTTTTATCTTTAATTATTTTTGTCTGTTTCCCAGAACCGCACAAATAATGGTGGAATTCAATCGTGGCGAGCCAGACGTTTAAAGACTGAAATGAAGAACATCCGGATGGACCCACCAGAGGGCGTTCTAGCTGTTCCATTAACAAAGAATTGTATCCATTGGCAGGCATCGATTGTTGGCCCTCCTGACAGTCCATATGAGGGAGGGATCTTTTATTTACACTTACAATTAGCAAGCAGGTAAGAAAC